ATGCCTCTCGCATCATCTTCTCCGCTAGAACCACTGCGCTCATCAGTATATGTTTCAGAGGCTGGTAATCCTATGCTATCGCATAGATGTCCTTGGAAAATTTCCTGAAAGGCTTCAAGGAACAGTAGAGCAAGCGGATCTTTGGCGCAGAATCGTTGACTTTTGAGACACAGTCTGACACCACTGCCTCCGGCCTCCGCGACCCGCAAGGATATACGGTCATCGAAACTGACTGCCTGAACTTGTTGCTACTGTACTCTGTTGCATTAGGTTGTTTTATGTTGAAGAAGGTTATTATTCCGTGGCCGAAACGTTTGAAGCTTAAATGAGTATGAACACAATGTAACCTCGATGTTTCCGGGAATTATGAAAGGAGCAGAATTCTATAGAATCAGCAGAATCAAGACCCCGTAGAACATAGGATAGTGACAGATTATTTGGTGCTCTGACGCACCTTCGTTCAACCTGATGCGTAGATGCACTCTGTAACTGAGGCCTGATTAAATGGTCCCATAGGTGTCTAGAAACAAGGGCCGTCGGCTTACGCTGATTAAATCCGGTATTATAACTTGCAATTTATTATTTACTGGCGGGATTGTAAAGATGCGATTGGTAACAGTTGCTTAAAATAACTGGATTATGTTTTTCCGTGAACGGACAGATCCTGACTTAGTAAGAGCTCCGTTCCACACACCTCTACGAAATTTACTTTGGTCTGTTTTAACCTCTTCCCTGTTTTATCATACCATATTGGGTACGTGTTTACAGTAATACGTTAACATTTTTAAACGTATTTCCTTTTAGTTTCATTCACATGATGCACATACGAATGAGATGTTAGTATGCAGCTGTTAATGCAAAGTAGTCTAATACAGTGTAAATAGTACGAGAGAGTGGAAAAATATGAGAAACTTTAATCTGGCTGTTCAACTCCCTTATGAAATTATCACGAGATGACTGAACAGTGGCTTTTTGCTTCTCTTCATAAATCACAACAGGCCAAAATGTCATCTATTTCGGTTTTGACTTTTAAGAACCATGAGGCATTAGTATTCATTCTCGCCATTCATACGATTCCTACAGAAGTCTTACGGAACATGATTGTCATCTCTCGTCACAAAAAGTTTTGGTTCTTCTTCTTGTTCCAAAGCCACGTTTCAGCAACTTTTGCTGCTTCTAATTCAGCGAGTTCGTCGTTTAATAATTTATTCACATGTGAGTCAATCAATTCTACGACATCATGTTCACGTACTTCTAATTTTAGCTGTTTCAACCGCTCAGGGTATTTCTCAGCCACTTCGGTATCGCCTCTGGCAACTTCTCCAGGCACTTTAACATGAAAATCATCATGATTCATAAATGTAGCAAATCAGCCATTACTTTCCACTGAGAACCTTCTGGATAAATTGATTCTGTATCTTCGAAGAAGCTTCTTGCCTTCGTCTGAACCGTCACTAAGCTTGGCGAATCGCGATTTTGGATTTGGTCTGTCATTAACATGGTTAACATACCATAAATGGCAACAGAACGCTTTTTCGCTACTTTTGTTCCCTTTAAGGAGGCGGATCCTTTCATGTGCCCTTTTATATGTACGTCATTTTTCACAATTGTATTCACTGCCGATGGTGCAAGAACGTGATCATGTCTTGTGGCGGTCAAGCTCTGTATTTTCTTATAGTTTCGATCTTTTCCTGTAGATGTTTCTGGTCTGTTTGCGCCTAAGTTCACCTGTTCTACCTCCGATCCTTTTTGTAGTGATGATTGTACTCTAACACAGCGCACGCAAATATTAAAAATTATTAATCTGTGAATACAAATACATGGTGAATGGTAAACAAAGCGAGACAGGAAATTGCACACATGCATCCTCGCGAATAACCGCTGTTTGGTAGCGTGTAAGTCACGTAGACACGTTAAGTAAATATTTTGTAACTCACAATTTTTCATAGTCCTTTCAGAATAGCTTGCGTAAGTTCCGATCTTCCTGTATCGACCTACTGATAGTGGCAACTCTTGTTGGAGCTCGAACGCACCGTTATTCAGCCCGGTTCAAAGATGCTGTCCTGCATCTGATTTACTGTGAATGCTCAGGTACCAAGCAGGCATATCGTACCTAAATCGCCCCCTAGACATCTGGATGCAAAGGAGCAGTTTGCTTACGTATAAATCGAATAAATCCGGTAGACTTAAACGCGGCAATACGATGGACTACTGTAGGTTTGCGCCCAAACCACTGAATCTAAACTATGGTGATATTATGGTTTGTGTGACGCAGTGTCAATTGTAAAGTTATTTGAAATCATTTTCATAATCGCTGCTAACGTGGTGAAACTTAAAAAACGAGCAAAAAACAAATGAGCTTTGCAAACTCTGTGCATTGCTACTCCATGGGCACCCATGTTCACTTTCCCGCCTGTCGTTGGGCGGCCGATTGTTCAATGCTGAATTTTCCGCCAAGTCCATGGATAGTTGAAACACGTTGTATTGCAGATTCGGTCTGCCGGACCTGAGCAGCTTTGTCTTGTTTCGCGAGGCGGCGCCGATGGTCTCCTCGTGGTCGGTCAACGAGGTGTTTCGCTTCATCGTGCGGCTCGGCTTTCCACGTGAGGCGCTGGCGTTCAGAAGAGAGGTAAGTTCCTCATACCGTTCACGCTGTACCTGCGATGTAACGAGGTCGTAACTCACGCTTATGAATCGTTTCAGGAGGTGGATGGTCCTGCACTGCTGCTGTTGAAGAGGTACGACGTTCTTTCGAGCCTTTCGTTGCAGCTCGGCCCGGCTATCAATCTCTATAGGCGGATCGCCACTCTGCAGGACATGGTCAGGAAGGGGCAATGGTGAAGCAGCTCAAAACGTCTCTTGTCGATGGAAGAAAACGTTCACATGTGCAAATTGTGCGTCTTTCTTGTACCTTATGTGTCGTTTGTATGGAAACGCGGTTTTGGCGGGTTGGCACAGTTGTCTAAAAGATTTGCTTCGAACAGCGAAGATGCGGGGTTCGATTCCTCTCGACGATAATCTTTGTCTTATTCACGAATTCCGTTGAACAAGGAATTTACCACACATTATTGCTTCAAACCGGGATTGCTCAATCGGTAGGACGGCGAATTCAACACCGATAAGGTACTGAGTTCAAGCCCTGATTGGAGTCACTCGCCCTTCTTCTTTGCGAGGTTGATAAATGAGTATCACGTTGTGGAAAGGAAACAGGAGACTACACGCTACGCTTGCCACATGGCTGTTGATTCCTCCTTTAAAAAATAAGGCACTTCTGGCTGATGGCAAAGAAACGCTGATCAGCGCCGTAGCATCAACTTCATAAAAAGAAGTGCGCCAAAACAGCTCAATCATGAAAGTGAAGGAATACCGACATTCCAACGTTGACCAACTTTGATTTCGGTCGAGAATGGAATTGCGTCGTTGGAAGTGGCCACCGGGTACGGTAAAGGCGCGACAGAAGATCTTCAGGGTCTACCGGTCGGTCGGCCGATCCACAGTGATGAT